GCAATGGCTCACACTTGTAATCCCAGCACTTTGGGAGAATGAGGAGGGTGAATCACCTGAGGTAAAGAGTTTGGGACGAGCCTGGCCAACATGGTGAAACCCTTTCTCTACTAAAAATACAAAAATTAGCCAGGTCTGGTGGTACATGCCTGTAATCCCAGCTACTCAGTAGGCTGAAGCAGGAGAATTGCTTCAACCTCGGAGTTGGAGGTTATATTTATCTGAGATCGCACCGCTGCACAGAGTGAGACTCTGTCTCAATGAAAACAAAAAGAAAAACAAAAACAGGCTACAGACTGGTACTGATCTGTGGCCAGGAGGGTTGTGACCCCAGCTGTAGACAATATGTAATGATTAAATCTGGGTAACTGAGACAGTCATCACCTCTAATATTTATCTTTTTTGAGGGGGGAACACAAAAATTCTTCTCTTTTAGCTATCTTGAAATATTCAAATAAAAACTCATTCACTGTAATTTTCCTTGTGCACTATTGATTACTGCAAGTTATTCCTTCTATCTAGGCCTTCTTGTTTTCATTCATTCTTTTTTTTTAATTATTTTTATTTATTTCTGAGACAGTCTCTCTCTTTCTGCCAGGCTAGAGTGCAGTGGCATGACCTCGACTCACTGCAACTTCCACCTCCTGGGTGCAGGCAATTCTCCTCCCTCAGCCTCCCAAGTAGCTGAGATTACAGGTGTGCACCACCATTCCTAGCTAACTTTTGTATTTTTAGTAGAGATGGGGTTTCACCATGTTGTCCAGGCAGGTCTCGAACTCCTGACCTCAAGCAATCCACCCACCTCGGCCTCCCAAAGTGCTGGGATTACAGGCATGAGCCACAGCACCTGGCCATTTATTCATTCTTACATTCATTCATTCTATGAATAACTACTGCCTGGCTATCACACATCCGGCAGGGTTCCAGGCTCTGGGGAAACAGCAATAAGCAAAACAAAGTTGCTGCTCTCTTAATGGATCCATCATTCTAATGAAGGGGAAAGAGACAGGCGATCCATAAACAAACCATTAACACAGACAGCACATCAGGTGGAGAGCGCTATGAAGAATAAATACTAAAGCAGGTACGGGCAGGCGCGGTGGCTCACACCTGTAATCCCAGCACTTTGGGAAGCTGAGGTGGACGGATCCCTTGAAGTTAGGAGTTCAAGACCAGCCTGGCCAACATGGTGAAATGCCATCTCTATTAAAAGTACAAAAAAAAAAAAAAGCCAGGCGTGGTGGCACCTGCCTGTGATCCTAGCTACTCAGGACGCTGAGGTGGGAGGATTGCTTGACCTTGGGAGGTGGAGGTTGCAGTGAGCTGACATGGCATCACTGCACTCCAGCCTGGGGAACACAGCAAGACTCTGTTGTCTTCAAAAATAAAAAAGTAAAGAGAAATTCAGGTGCAGGTGTAGAGTGCATTAGCACGAGCAGGGGTGATGCGGTGGTGGTGAAGGTGGTCAGGAAAGGCCTCTCTGTGAAGGTGATAGACATGAGGGCTGAGCCTGGGGACTCCTGGGTAGAGCAGCCCTGGAGCGCTCTAGCTGTTGGTGCCGTTGTGGTCCTTTTGTTTTATTTTGTTTTTGAGACAGTCTTGCTCTGTCACCCAGGCTGGAGTGAAGTGGTACAGTCTCAGCTCACTGTGATCTCCACCACCTGGTTTCAAGCCACCTCAGCCTCCCAAAGAGCTGGGATGACAGGCGTGGGTCACTGCACCTGGACTCTGCATCAACATGTTTAAATTCTTCTGACAGCTGTGCTTTAGGAAGAGTGTTCTGAAAGCCATAGGAAATGATTGACAGAATGGCAGGACAAGGATCACGTCAGTGACAGGGTGGCTATGGACATCTGCTGGCCAGCAGCAGGGAAGCCACTCAGACCCCGGATTCTACCTCTGCAGCCCACCTGCACCTGAACCCTCTTCCCCACATGTAGAAGCCTGGAACTCTCAGAAGAGCAGACCTCATCAGCCGCTGCCACCTTCACCAGAATGATGTGATTAATTCGTTCACACAGAAGACAGCAGGATCCCTGAGAGAACAGGATCCAGAATGTGTGGGTTTTGATGGACAGGGTGGTAGGATCTGGGAGGCTCCACCTACCTCACCCTCTGTCCCCCACACTCCTTCCTTAGTCCTGCTCGGCATAGAGACTAGAGTGACATCACCAGAAATGTAGACGCTTCAAAGGACACCAGCGACACGGAGAAGTGGAGGCTGGAGGTCTGCAAGTTGCCCAGCTCCTGGCCTCGGATGCCCAGTACTCTGTCCAGAAAGGCTCCCTCCCAGCCATAGAACTTGATGGTCCTCGAGTTCCTGAGGATGGAGCTGGTGAGCAGGGCCCATGAGTCCTTCTGCCTCATTTGCTCTCCTGGTATTGGAGGGAAGAGAGAGATGAAGACACGGCTGGTCCAGAATTCTCCCCTACACCCTGACAGTCACCCTGCAGCAAATCCCACTGATCTCACCAAGTGCATCCCAAAGCCGTCTGCCTCTCTGCATCTCTGACCCTCAGTCCTGATCCATCCACCATCATCCTGTGCCTGGACTCCTGCAGGAGCTGACCCGGGACCACTGACCGGGGGAGGCAGCTTCTGATGCCTGGAGAACAGAGGCTGCCCCTGAGCCCACCTGTGGATGGCACCATCAGGAAGGCTACCTGGAGGTGGGTAATGCCTGAGCTATATCTTTTTTTTTTTTTTTTTCACATTTTTGGTGGTCTTAGGGCGGTCTCACTATGTTGCCCAGGTTGGCCTCAAGCTCTTGAACTCAAGTTATCCTTTGTCCCTGCTTTCTAAAGTGCTGGGATTACAGCCTGAGCTAAACATTAAATGACCAGGAGGTGGGTGCTGGGCAGGCAGAGGATAGGGGGATAGAGCCGGGAAGAGGGAGGGGAGGCTTTGAGACAGGGGGCAGCAAAAACCCAGGCACAGGGAGCAGCATGACTTGGAGGACACTCAGTGTGGCCAGAGGAGTGCGTGGGCAGGGTCACTTGGCACTTTAGGGTCAGGCAGGAGTTTGGGGTCTCCTGTGCTTCACTTCACTGAGGGATAGGGGCATCATCAGAAGGCAGCTGCCTGGAGAAGGTTTTTTTATTTTTTGAGATGGAGTCTTGCTCTGTTACCAGGCTGGAGTGCAGTAGCACAATCTTGGCTCACTGTAACTTTTGCCTCCTGTGTTCAAGTGATTCTCCTGCCTGAGATTCTAGAGTAACTAGGATTATAGGTGCCTGCCACCATGCTCAGCTAATCTTTGTATTTCTTAATAGAGATGGCGCTTTGCCATTTTGGCCAGGCTCTTTTGGAACTCCTGACCTCAGGTGATCTGCCTGCCTCCACCTCCCAAAGTGCTGGGATTACAGGTGTGAGTCACCATGCCTGAAGGAGGCCACGCAGGAGGCTAGAGAAACAGTCCAAGTGACAGATGGGTATTGGGACAGTTGGGACTAGAGAGGAAATAAGTTCCTTTCCTCCATCCCCCTTCCCTCCCTCCCTCTGTCCTGCCTTAGTTTCTTTTCTTCCCTACTCCTCTCTTCCGTTCTCCTGCCCTTTTGTTCTTCCCTCTCCTTTTTCCCCTCCCTCCTCCCTTTCTTCCTTCCCTCCCTCATTCCTTCTCTTCCTCTTTCAACTCTTTCCTTCCCTCCCCTTTCCTTCTTTCCTTCCCTCCCTCCTTTTCACTCCTCCCCTTCCTCCTTCCTTCCGTAGTTCTCAAACACTGATCCAGCACCTTCTGCACGCCCAGCACTAACTAGTTACTGAGTCTGCCACAGGGAGTGGCCCGTGCTGCTGTGGAGCTTCCAGTCTAAGGAGAGCGAGGCCATCAGCCCCTGCCAGGCGCTTCCTGCAGGGCCGTTTAGGAAGTGGGAAGTGTTGGGAAAAGCAAAAATGAACCCAGGACAGGCCAAAGAAGGGAACTGTTGGGAGGAGAGGGATGGGCGGGCCATGTCCTTGCTGGACGGTGGTGAGGGAAGTGGCCTTGACTGCAGGGGGTGCTGGAGGGGACAAGGGTCTTCTGGAGTGAGGGTGGTCCGGGGCAGAGGAAACAGCTAAAGCAGATGCCTGGAGAGATGTGTGAACATCAGGCAGGTGTGAGGATGGGGAAGGGGGGTAGGTGGGAAAGGGAGGGAGATGGGTGGAAGGTGAGGCTGGAGGCAATGAGGCAGCTCAGGGCGAGCCTGGTGGCTCAGCCCGAGGAAAATGGGGCCGCTGTGGGTCTGAACAGAGGAGTGTATAATGGATTCAGCTCACACAGGTCTCCTGTGGCTGTAAGTGGAGAGAGGCTGGGGCAGAAGTAGGGAGTGAGCCAGGGCCTTGCTGCTGGATGCATTTCCAAAGTGATGTCAAGCAAACCTGCTGTCTGATGGGGTGCAGGAGAAAAAGGCGTTGGTCTGACCCAGGGCCTGGGGCCTGAACACTGGAGAGAGGATCCGCCATCCACTGCGATGGGGAAGGAGTGGGGCAGGTCTGCACAATGGGCAACTCACAGAGACAAGAACAAAGCCAGAGCTGCCGGCTCCCACTCAGCTCTCCCCTCCCCATCACCCAAACCAGGGCCTTTGTCTTCCTCCCTACTTCCTGCCTGGTCCATCCCTTTCCCAAAAGCTGAACCTGACCGTGATTCCTCTTCTTGGTGATGAAGAAATTCAGAGGGAGGAGGCTCAGGAAGACAGTGATAGTGGAGGGACCCAGAAGTTGGGGACAGAGGGGACAGAATGTCAGGAGATCCCAAGGAGCCAGCTGCCAGAGCATGTGAAAAACAGCAACTCCATCTTGAATTGGAGCTGATTAAAAGGAGGCTGAGACCTACTGGGCTGCATTTCCAGGTGGTGAAGGCATTCTAAGTCACAGGGTGAGACAGGAGGTCAGCACAGGATACAGGTCACAGAGACCTTGCCAGTAAAACAGGCTGCAGTAAAGAAGCCAGTCCAAAACCCACCAAAACCAAGATGGCCAGGAGAGTGACCTCTGGTCGTCCTCACTGCTACATTGCCACCAGCGCCATGACAGTTTACAAATGCCATGACAACATCAAAAAGTTGCCCTATATAATCTAAAAAAGGGGAGTCATGGATAATCTACCCCTCATTCAGCATGTCATGGAGAAATAACCCTAAAACTGGGCACCAGCGCCCTCTGGGCTGCTCTATGGAGTAACCATTCTATCTTTACTTTCCTAAAAAACTTGCTTTTTCAGGAAAGAATAAAGTTGCTCTGTGGCTCACACCTGTAATCCCAGCATTTTGGGAAGCTGAGGCAGGCAGATCACCTGAGGTCAAGACTTTGGAATCAGCCTGGCCAACATGGTGAAACCCCATCTCTACTAGAAATATACAAATTAGCCAGGTGTGGTGGCAAGCACCTGTGATCCAAGCTACTCAGGAGGCTGAAGCAGGAAAATCACTTGAACCCGGGAGGCGTAGGTTGTAGTGAGCCAAGATCACACCACTACCCTCTATCTAGGCTGGGCAACAGAGTGAGAGTCCATCTCAAAAACAACAACAACAAACAAAAAACCCAACCAAACAACCAAAAAAAAACTGTGCTTTCACTTCACAGACTCACACTGAATTGTTTCTTGCATGAGATCCAAGAACCCTCCCTCGGGGTCTGGATCGGGTCCCCTTTCCTGGAACACAGCTGCAGATCCTGAAGAGGGTCAGACTTGGATCCTGAGATGGGAAGTCGGGGAATGTGATAAGGGCAGCCACCAGGTCCCAGGGATCTGGGCTCATGAGGGTCTGCTGGTTCAGGAGGCGCCTGCTGAAGATGGGTTCCTTCAATGTCAGGGAGGGGAATGGCCCACTTACAGGATGGGGAGAGAGTCATATTCAAGACAGAACATGCACACACAGGAGTAGGACTGGGGGGTGTTCCTGGCCACAACAGTGAAGTGAGATCACTAGACTCAGGAATGGGTTCAAATCCTGACTCTGATGATTGTGAGGGTGGTCTTGGGGCAAGTCACCTTCCTAATGTGCAATTCCCTTGTCTACAAAATGGGAACAGAGTTGTCCTCATTTTGCATGTTTGCTTATTACATTTAAGTATTTTCCTAATCTTCATTTCACCCTCATGAGGGTTGTCAGACTTAGCAAATCCTCATACAGATGCACAGTTGCCTTTGAAGACAAAGAGTGAATCAGGTTTTAGTTTAAGCCTTGTGCATTATTTGGGGCATACACTGAGAGTCCGAAACTCACACTTCACTGGATGTCCTGTGTTTTCTCTGGGAACCCTACTCCCCACCAACGTGGTGCTTTTGGGATAGTTATATTCCTTCTCTCAGCTTTGGTTTCTATTTCAGGAAAATGTGGAAGTGCGGGGTAAAATAAATGATTTTTAAGTTGCTGAGACTTTCTGAGAGTCCTTCACAGGTTACTTGAACCCATTCTCTCACCAAGCCCCACCCCAACTCCAGTCTGCATGCCTCAGTTTCCCCTCTTAGTCCTTAGGAATACTATTTTTTTTTTTGAGATGGCATCTCGCTCTGTTACTCGGGCTGGAGAGCAGCGTCACAATCTTGGCTCACTGCAACCTCTGCTTCGCAGCCAATTCTCCTGTCTCAGCCTCCCTAGTAGCTGGGATTAGAGATGTGCGTCACTATGCCTGGCTAATTTTTGTATTTTTAGTACAGACAGGGTTTCACCATGTTGCCAGACTGGTCTTGAACTTCTGGCCTCAAG